AGGTTTTTTTGTACAGCTGTAGCTTAATTTCAATGTTGTTCTTGTTGAGCAATGGAATATTGCTGAAATGCTTGTAGATTAAATTAAAAAAAATTTTAACTATGTTGGTTTTGACATTACTGTTAAATGGTGGGTTAAATCAAATTTTGTTGTGTTTTCTATGTTTATGCCTGTCAAGGTATTCTAGATTAACTTTATGTTTGCTTTTTATATAGTGCATCTGTTGACTTTAAACAAACATTTTGATTGTCTAAGGTTTTTAGAACATCTAGAATCTCAGCAAGAAGCTCAACCACATTTGAATTTGTAAAGCAGTTCTATAAATCCATGATGCTTCAAGTGCAGCACAAATTCTGGCAAAGATAAAACAAGTGTATGTGGCCATTACACACTTCATGATGCCTTTATCAAGTGGCTGCAACAGGGAGGCAGGTATTTGGAGGCAGGAACAGCACTTTAATGTGCTCATCCTTATACATCAGGAATTAAAGATGGTCAGGAGCATCATTAATAATAAGGACCTTAATTGACAGTCCCTTCTTTTTGATGTATTTTTTCAGTTCAGGTATAAAGCAGTGATGGAACCAATTGAAACACAAAATGACTGTGACCCAAGACTTCTTATTATGCTGCCAGAACATGGACAGTATATATGCTTTTGTTCTTAAGGTCATGAGGATTGTTGACTATATACAACAGGCTTGGCTCAATCATATGACCTGCTGAATTTCTATGTAGCATCAAAGTAAGATGATCCTTCCAAGTTTTAAACTCTGAAGCCAGATGGGCACTCTTATGAATGTATATATAATTCATCATTTTCTTCCAGAAAAACTGCTTTCATCAATGCTGAAGACTCAATTTTGATGCTAGCCTTTTTTTCTCAATTACTTTTTTGAACTATAAAGTCATCACTTGCTAGTTTTAAACTCCTTATCACTCTCCTCAATCTCCTTACTGTAATGTTCCTATAGGTTGTCTTTTCACACAAAATATTTGCATCAACAGGGACATGTTTCTGTCTCATGTTCTCTCACTGTGATTTAACTCTTTCCTGCTTTTCAAGCACTATATCACAACCTGAGACATGATTTTTATTATTGCATGGTGAAAACTGTTCTAAAGATTTCATTTTTTCTTGGTTATATCATATAGATATAAAACTCATTTCTCAAACTTTACATGCTAATTCAGGTACTGACAATTGTGCCAACACTTACAAATTTTGTTCAATGCTTAGCACTTTTGTAGCCTTCTTAGGCTTTTCATCACAGCCCTCAACACTTTTATCATCCATCCATTTCTTATGAAAATAAAAACACTGCACACTTAGCAAATGTAACATCCATAACTTGTGTAGCAAAGAAGTTAAGAAATATTTAATACAAGGTGAAAACCCCAGAAAATATATGGTAGCAGAAAGAGTTGAGTTTTCTCCCTTACATTAGGTGACAGTCTTATGCAGAACAGGTAATAAAGAATTTTAAAGCCTTTCAAAATATTTAACAAATTGAAAACTGACCATTGTGATATTTCAATATTTATAACCTAATATTAAAATAATTGAGCAGTTCATTTACTTGATGAAAACTAAAATGAATTTAATACAGAAAACAAACAGATTACAGAAAAACAAATACACACACACATCATATATAAATATATATGATGTGTGTGTGTGTATTTGTTTTTCTGTAATCTGTTTCTCTAGGGTTGGGCACTGCAAACATTTATTTAATAATTTAACATGGAAAAGATCAATTTTGGAATTTTGTTAAAAAACATTCCCATCACAAACAAACAGGAATATTTTGAAAAACTAGTTTTAAAGACTGAGGATCTGATTATAAGAATGAGATGGAAAGCCCACTTCTTCCTTCTTGATTGAGATGTTTTGAATATATCAGATCCTTATGGATCTCAGAGTGTTTAAAAACGGCACCTCTCACTGAACGCTTACATGGCTTTGAAATTGATCTTCTAAACATTGTAAATGACATCACTTTTCATAAAAATAGGATCCAGTTTCAGAGGCATTTAGATTGTATAATTAAGGATATTAAGAAACCCAAGCAAATATTTGTTAAATCTGATAAAATGGCAAATTTTTATAAATCTAATCCCAAAGAATACAATGCATTAATCAAAAACAATTTAACTAAGAATTATAAGAAGATAGATATTAACAATTAATTGTGTTGATAAAATTAAAACTGCTTCTAGAAATATTACTGATAAACTTAAAATTTAGCAATAGGGTTAATAAACTCTGTACCAAAGAACCTAATATCTTACTTAATAGATCATAAGCCAGACATTCAAACCAAACTTCCTACAAGGATCATAAACCCTACCAGAACAGAAATCAGAAGGATAAACAAAATTATCCTGGATCAGGTCAATAAACATATCAAACAACACCTTGGACTTATACATTGGATTGGTACCATAGAAGTCATTAATTGATTTAGAGGTGTTAGTAACAAAACAGCTGCTCTTTTATCCAATATGATATTGTGGAATTTTACCCTGCCATCTCCAAGGACCTTTTTATCCTGGCTTTGGAATTTGCCAAAGAATAGTCTAATATCTCCAGTGATGAAATATAATAATGAACTGTAGAAATTCAGTTCACATTCATAATAAAGAACAGTGGGTTAAGAACTCTGATGATTACTTTGATATTTCAATGGGATCATTAGATTCTGCAGAGTCTTCTGATTTGATAGGTTTATATATTTTATATAACCTTACTATGAAGATAACGTTGATAATATAGGGTTATATAGAGATGATGGTCTTATGGTAGTAAAAAATTCCACTAAAATTAAGGTTAATAAATTAAGAAAAAATCATTCACAGTAAACTAAAATGTTTAAATTTTAAGGTTAAGTGCTAATGTTAAAAAAGTAGATTTTCTTGATGTTACGTTGGATCTCGTTAATGATATATTTCAACCTTATATAAAAAATAATGCCAACCCAATTTATATTCACCCCCAATTCTAACAACCCTCCATCTGTAATCCAACATATGCCTTCATCTGCAGAATGTAGGATTAGCAACCAATCACCGGACAAAGATGTGTTTGATAAATATAGCAGTGTTTATAATAAAATTTTAAAGAATAGTGGTTATAAGTACGCTGAAATCAAATTTAGAAAAATATGATGATAGTGGTTCAAAGAAAAGAAATAGAAATATGAAGATCATTTGGTACGCACACCCATTTAATCAATTAGTACTAAGTTAGGCCATAAGTTCCTCCATTTGATTGATAAACATTTTCCTAAAAGTTACCCTCTTAGTAAAATATTTAACAGAAACACATTAAAGCTAAGTTATAGCTGCACCAATAATCTTGAGAAGATTATAAAGTTACGCAATAATAAAATTTTAAATCAATTTAATAATCTGGATCATAATACATGTTCTAAGATAAATATTAATGATATTGACCAATGTAATTATAGGAATTCTGACCAATGCCCATTGCTAAACAAGTATTTAATTAAATCTCTGGTTATCTTAGTGCTATCTCTACAATAGAGAATCCAACGCTTGAAAAATTCTATATTGGTAGTACTAGGAATTCTTTTACGACTAGGTGATATCAACATATTTTGTCCTTTACCAATACTACATACAGAAATAATACATTACTTTCTAAATATTTTTGGAGTTTAAAAGACACCTAAGGTGAAATGCAAAATTTCAAAATGGCAAGGACATGTAGGTCTTTATACGAACCTTGTTTTCTGTGTACATGAAAAACTCGAAATCATCAGATTCTTTGACAAAAATTCATTATTAAATCAAAGAAGTGAATTAAGAGTACATTGTAAGCATAGTTTACCTTTTACCTTACAATTTAGTTAAACTATGAAATTTGATAATGCTTTTTCTTATATTTTAGTTATACTGCATTGCTCTATATATGGCTTATCTTTCCAGATTAATCTGGATTTAATATAATTTTGTATTAATTTCTATTGGTAATATCTTGTACAGAGGTATTGGTATTTGGTTGCTATTTTTGACATTTTACATTGATTGGTTAGTGTTCTTAATATCTTATATAAAGGATCTTTATTTAACAGTTGCATATTAATTTACTAAATAATTCTACATGTTAAAATTATTTACTAATTTCTTAAAGAAGCTATTTATTTATCATCTACAAAGAAAATTTTGTGTAGGAAATTCACAAAGCATATAACTTGTTTATCGTTTTGTTAAATTACCTCTCCAACTTTTCTTTCTTAGGAAACTGTATTGTCTGGTTTGTATAATTTATGTAACCATATGTATCTACTTTAGTTTATGTCTGGCTGCCATTAGCTGCCAATCTATGGGTCATGACCCATTTATAAAAAATAATTTTTGCTTCTTCACTTAGTTTAAATTTAACATAGGTCATATTTGATTGGTTGATCAGAGTAATTTACAATTGCCTTATGAGATGCATATCAATGCATTGAAACATAATTGAAATTGTGTAACGATTTTTACATGTTTTTAGTGTAATGTCCTAAAATAAATAATATTGCTCTCCTCTTTATTGAGCCCTCTTTTAAATTAAATGTTACAAACATTGGAATTGTACTCTATTCATTTTCACTGTACCTGGATATATATATATATATATATACACACACACACACACAGACATAACCGTAAAATGTTTGTTGTCATAGGTAGCCAATCTTAATTTACTAATATATAATGACATCATAAAAGTCCATGCAACTACACATACAGGATTTGGTTTAATCCAAATATTTTTATTGAAGCTTGTCATCTTATAAGGTTGCTTCATCATAAATGCATAACAATGGTATGAAGCCAGAATGAAATATCAAATTTGTGAAATCCACAGACTATTTTTAAATATTTACTTGGATATTTCCTAGCTTTAATCTATTTGAACAGAGTTGATTAAGGTAAAAACAAAGTTGCATGCGAAAATAAATTTGAAAGGACATAAAAAATGTACTTGCCTAGACTCTGCATTGCCATTGTGTGATGCTGCCAAAACACGAACACTGGAAATGGCAATGAACTTGCAGTAGATTTTATTTTTCTGAGATATCATTCTTTGCAGAAGATGGAATTCTACAACAGCACCATCAAGAAGTCCCAAGGGGTATGATGTATTCTCTAGATTCATGAAGAGCACCAATTCTTCATGTGATTTGATATCTTGAAGAACTAATTTTATACTGTTACAACCCAAAGTTGATAACTCTAAAAATAAATATATTTATATTTTCATAAAAATATAGTAAAAATATAAAAATAAGAAAACAGCATTATTTCCATTTTTAATTTATATTAAATTAATAGCACATATTCAATAATATTATTTAATATAATTTTATAATATATTGGCAACTTAATGTTTTTTAAATGTTCACATGAAAATATACTAAACAAATTGGTTAACAGTAAGAACCAAAGCCAAAATACAATCATACTATAGATGTGAGAAATTGTCACAGGAGTTATCTGAATTATCAGTTTACTTATAAATGTTATTTGTAAAACATCCAAAAGGATTATAAAATACACAGTTATAATAACTATTTTTTGGTTAACTTGAAGAGTATTTTTAATATGCAGTTCAGTACAAAAACAGAATCCTATGCAAGTTACTACAGAAAATGTTTATTTTAGATACCAGTCCCACATAAATTCAATTTAAATTCAAGCAAGAATATATTTTCAAGGTAGTACTTATCTATGTTTAAATACAAGAGAAAAAAAACAGTAACATACTTGTTTATAATTTCAATATCATTTCAGTTCTTAATATTCACAAAGTTCACTTTGCAAGTTGAATTTGGTTCAAATTCCTAATAAAAAATTAGTAGTTAAGCCCAACTGAATATTTTTGATTTAGCAAATATGAAGCTATAATATAATAATAATAATAAAAGCAATTAAATATTATGGTTTTTGCAATTGGGATTACATGCTATTCCATATATTCACCTATGATTCAACATCACCTAGCACATCACTTCAAGTTTCTTTAATCCTTCCAAAAAAGAATTCTAAAGTTTGAGCATTAAAATATTGCTCTGCTGTTGCTATAACTTTCAAATAATTAAAAAATTTCCTCCTTTTAAAATTCCTTTTAAGCTTTCGAAACATGATATAGATAGCAAAAGAATAGAGGGGATGATCAATACACTCTAACCCAAAATTCTTCAAAATATCCATCATCTCACCAGCACATTGACCCAGTACACATTGGCCTGCAGAAAGACTGTTTGCCTTGCTGTTTTTCTTTCTACTGCTCCTTTAATTGGCACATTATCAGTTGCAGAAATGATGTATTAATAAAGATTAAAACTTTTCATAAAGAAAGTTTTTGCTCCTTCCAATGGTTGTTTCTGTTAATGGCACTGAGTAAATTCTAAATATATGCAGTGATTGATACTTTTAAATGTGTGTATGTACTACATGAACAATTTTGTAAATATCACTGAAAGGATTGAAAAAGTACAATTGAAAATAATAATAACTGCTGGGAATGCACAAATGTTTTAAATTGATAATTCTTATTTATAAAACTTCTCTAGAAAAATGTATACATGAAATTATTAACATCAAGCTCATCATTACATCCTGGTTAAACAATTTATGAAAAATAAATGTACTATCACATGCTTTCATTCCTTTTATTCTTATTTTATTAAAAACAATATTTAAGTAGTTATTTTAATCATTTTTTATATTCTTCTGCATTCTAATTGTTTGTATTGTACTCTTATTATTGTGAATAACTATTTTAGCATTATAAAAAACAAATATGAAATAACTATATATTAGGTACCTCCACTAATTTGGTATACGTAAGGTTTAGAATGAATTTTAAAAAATGAAAAAGCTTTTTTGAAGCTTTCATTTTAGCTTTTATTGAAAGCTAAAGAATTTAAAATTTACTATTTCCAGTAAGCAAAATACTCTGTAGTATATTTCAAACAGAAATTAAATTGATCAGAATTGATTTTTTTTCAGTAAAATTGATAAAAACAAAAATTTTAACACATTTGTAAATAAAAGTTAATTCCCAGTTTGAAAAATCTTGCAAAAATAATATATATATTTCTGAATTCTGAAACATTATTTGAGGAAAATTAGAAAATTTAATGTTAAATTAATCTGATTTGAAACAAATATTCAGGTTCGTCAGATTGTAGTAAGCTTTACGATATATGATTAGTAAATATAGTTTTACTTAATAACAATATTTCCTAAGAATTATCACAATGAAACTGAATATTAAAAGATTTAAAAATGTTATAAACTATTCAATTTAAAATTGTAAAAAAATTAAAACAAATCTTGTAAAAATTTATTTTTCATCAAAAGTTTTTTTTCTTCAAACAATATTGTTTTTAATATATATTATTCATAAAAACAAAAGCTTCTCTAATTAAATAATGTCTTAGTTATAGTACATTTTTGATTTTTCAAATCAGAACAGATTTTTGGTAAGATAGGGTCTGATTTTGAAAAAAAATTGGGTGATTTAAATTCTTAAAAGAATTCTCCTTTTAACTAATATAGTCACTAAAACTTATGTTGAATTTCTCAAGTTTTCATAAAATTAAATAAAGGGGTGAAACGTGTAAAAAAAAAATTTACCAAGATTTCTAATAAAAAAAAATAAAAAAATAATTTCATTCATTTGCAAATAAGTCCTGAAAATTTAATTAAAATCCAACAATTATTTGATTTTTCCAAGAATTTCCAAATAAAAATGTGTGTCACCACAAAAAAAAATAAAATAAAATTTGCTATGCTAAAAATTAATACAACTGCTGACACAAGAAAAACAAGTTTTTTAATCAAAATTTTGAATGTTCTAAAAAAAGAGTAAAAAAATTCATTAAATATTCAAAAAATACTTTGATCTTTCCTCTTAATAATAGCAAAGATTTTAACAAAACTATGTTTTCATTAGGTTTGGATCATGTTTTCATCATGGTATGCTGATTTTTTTAGTGATTTCCTGGAGGTACCTCCTATGTATTATAATCGTAAAAAAAAATCTAAAAATATACTATAATAGTGAATGTTACAATAAATAATTAGTTGTATACAAATAAATTAAAAAGAAAAACATCAAAAATAATTTATGGCAACATATTGATATAATATCAAATTATTTTTCTGTGAAGAGTTTATGGAAATGATACTGACAACTATATGATCCTTTACTGATGTTTCATAGAAAAGGAATTCCTTTGACACATTAATAAATTATCTGGTTTTATAGCCAAGAGCAACTTGTATTCTTTATACTAAGTAAACTATTCTGTTGGATAGAGCCCACTGCCATTTTTATTTACACAGCTTTAGACACAGGTTTAAAGTTAACATTCTTTCTTCATTGAATATAGACTATTGCTTTTCTGATAATTAACTGAAATTTTTTACTAATCATTCTAAAATAAATATCTTAAAATGGTGTAATTTTTCAAATAAAACATCAGTGCTTCCACAGACAATATTAACATATTATATGTACAAATTTCTCCTTTTCAAATTGCTATAATTAAATCATAATTATAATAAATTCAAAGTATATTCAGATGATAGCATACAGTAAATAGACTAAATCAGTATGTTGCTTTTTTATTCAACAAATGTAAATCTTTCAATATATTTTGTGTATCTTTTGTTGTATTATTAAGTTATCTCCCCTTATCTAGCTGTTCCATTTCCTGTTTTCACGTACGTGCTCACTCAAAAAACGGTAATTGAAAGATAAGGCCTATTGTACCCAGTTCGTGAATAAAGATCTGATTCCCTTACACATGCCATCCTAATTGTTTGCAAGTATTTCATCTGACATCAGAACCTGACGCATAACATAACACCTTTTGCTCAATTAGAAGACTGTAAAGTTCAATAGATCAATCTACCAAAGTGGATTGTAGGTGACAACTTCCAGAGATTTCAATGGAATTTCAGTTTACATTCAAAGTGTACAATGTAATAAATAAATAAAACCACATTCCTAAAGTTAATAAATCTAAGCACAAGAAAAGCTAACTTTATTTATAAAGTAATCAGAATAGGTATTGCATGAAATCAATATTTGATTAATAAGAAAAAATGTATGAAAGATTTTGTTATTATTTTGATGTTTATTTCAAGCATCTGAACGATTTGACTGCAAGTGATTCATGTTAATATACTACAGTATATTATAATAGCATAACATAATAACAGCAAAATGTAACTAACCAAGTTCTGTGTCATAGTCATTTATAGGAAAGTCACTGGAACCATATGTTGCATACATATTTTCAGGATGAGTTCGACTCAAAATTTTTGTTGGTAGCAAGCTGACAATATTTTCTGAAAGACTAAAAGAAACATTCTTTTAAAAACATTCACATTTTGTTTTTCAAAAACATTAGTCAATAGATGAGAGATTAGATTCCAGATGTGAAAACAAGGAAATAAAACTTAATTTCACTATAAAGTCATCCTTATTTATAAAAAGAAAGATATTTTTATAAATATTTTTTTCAATATTTAGTAGGTATCCTAAATTTAAATTTTATTTTCAATATATCTGAAAATTTCTAGATATTGAATTCTGAAGTTTTCAGTAACATTTGGGAACAGACCAAATGAAAAGCAGAGAGAATAAATCTGGTGATAATTGCTAAGACAGCTGGCATCCTGGGAAGACAGCAAACAGCAATCTGGGGTTATCACCCTAGATTGCATCATATTCCACAAGGAGAAAACCACAAAAAGCTATGAGTTGACAACAGAGTAAAATTGTAGATCAATGGATTCCAAAAAAGAGAATTCTACAGATTGAGCAATTGAAGATTATCTCACTCTTAGATACAAAGAGCAAGATTTTCTGTGGGATCTTATCCTAGCCACTAACAAAATACTTGATTGATAACAAGTACATTGAGAAAGGCAGGATCCCTGGAATACCAGGCTCTATTAAACTTACAGTAGTGACACAGCTCCTAAGAGAAGTGAAAGAAGGCACAAGCTGATTAAAGAAGTTCTTAGAAGATACCACATAACTAGCGCCATGAGTGACTTAATACTTGATTATTACAAGTCTTATCAAGACATCTTCTGAATGGCATCGTCTTGAGAGGTTACACTCACGGGTTACACTATCATATTCACCCTTGCCTTTAATTTGTCAATCAAGTTAGTTAAGCTGGAGTATGTCAAACTGCTATCAGGGCTTACATAGAGGATTTAACAATGAGCATATATCATCTGTTCCTGAGTGTAGATGTTTATTGAGAAGTCAGGAAAGGATAATTTCATGGGTACAAAACGAAGTTTAAGCCATTGAAACCTTTTCTTTTCTTTTGAAGAGGTGTAGTAGTTTTTAGAATTTATTTCTCAATCACCAAAGTGACAATCCCAACTCTGAGAGAAAGGTCAGTAAAGAGTCTAGAAAAACTATTTCACTGCATTATGAAGGATACTGCTGCCATTCAGGAAACTACCAAGGACCTTGAATTATGGTTAAAAAAGGTGGATAAATCAGGTTTACCAGGACCTTTCTGTTGTAGACTGATTTCACAGTAGAGGCTTGTATTTGTACTAAGTCGGTCCTAAAATAGGTTCGACATACAAAACATTACGAACTTGATATAATAGGTATAACGCAGTAATATAGTTGTGGTGGCTGATACTTTAATATCTGACTAACGGTCGTCTGACATCAACTGACTGACTAACTCCCTGAGCGACTCGAGACTAACTTGTTACTCTTAGTACTCCTATTTATTATAGGTGGGAGAGTCTATTAACTATAGAATAGGTGTGTTCCACTATAACACTTTCAAAGGCATTTATCAGGATGCCATTCTAACAAGGATATTCTGGCTTCTAATGTTATATGAAATTTCAATGACAACAGTGATAGCAATGGAAAGGAAGATAAATGGCTATCTGTGTAGGTGGCTTAGCCTGTATTGCTTTATATGGGTAGACTAATGTTCTACTACATCTCCCTTTCAAGGGACTTACCGAGGAATTTATGGACAAGAAAGGTGATGTTTTACAGAGACTCAAATGACTCCAAAGCATCTGAGTAGCACTGATATGCTTACAGGTAGGAAATGGAAAGCATCATGGAAACTACAAATTGCAGATGAACGATTAAGACACAAGGGATTGATAGGAAAAGTAACGACAGGACAACCTAACTTGAAATTTTGTTATGAGTAGAGTTTCTGGTAAAGAATGTCAACACCCCTCTACCTGCAGTGAGAAGTGTGGAAGAAGTAAGGTTTTAAAGATGGTTGCATTAGGCTAACAGAGTGTATCGGCTAAATGGGAATACATATTAAAAAGAAAGATTAGCTGGTCAGACAACTAAAATTCTAACTTTATCAAACCCGGCAAATCTCCACACATGGGAAAAGACTGTGATTTCACAATGCTTGCTATATATGAATAGAGGTTCATTTAAGCATATACTCAGTAGCTACCTTTAAAAAAATATCTTCAGAGATATAGATAGACCAGTAAAAGCATCATCAACTTTATAAAAGCAGTAGAGAAGCGCCACTCTTCCAAATAAAAAAAAAAGAAAAAAAGTATCACTCTTCAGTACAGCCCCAGATTGGAAGAGGTTAGTTGACATTGGTAGGCAACTGAGATTTCCTGAGCACATTTTTACAAACCTGATTGCAGTTCAGTTAGTGATGTTCATTCAATCAGTAACCCAAATTTTGATGCATCAAACCCCAAAATGAATGAGGAAATACTGGGAAAATTATCACAGTATACCCTCTTTTTGATTCACATGCACCTTGAGTTGTATGAATTCAACTGATTATTAAAGACAAGATATTGATCTACAAGAAGGTGCAATTTTCATTTTTTTTTTAAGTGTTGAATTTCTATGGTATTTTATCCACTAAAAAATTTCTAAATTTTCAAATTATTGTGAAAGTTAACTTCAAGCTTTATCTTAAACCCATCAAATTGATGAGTGTCATTTTTTTAAGATGGGACTATTTCAATATGTGTATAGAGACACAACTCAAAACGCAACACGTTTTAAAAACACTATTATGAAATTGTCAGCTTTGAAAATGCGAAAAACAAGCCATTGATGAAATAGTGACATCATTGAAAGTGATGTGGAATAAAAACTAATCATCACATACTAGAAAGAATTGTATATTTAAAAAGAAAAAAGATATTTTGGTTATATACTAATTTTATCAAAATAGCCTTAAAAATAGACAAGATATTAGCAGTTGAAATAGATGGAAATTTTATTATTTTGACATGTTTTTACAGTGTAACCTCAGGCATTTTGGGATACCTACATTTAGTAAATAAAATAATAAAGATAAATAAAGATAATGCTTGTTGTATAAGTATGAATTTTTCCCTTGTAGTTAAAAAAAACATTCTACCTCTTTCAGGTAGACAGTTTAATTGATATGTGGTAGAGATTGCATGTGACTATGAATCCAGCTTGTTTAGCAGGATGTTGCGTAAGTTGTTGGTGGCTCTATGTGGGTGTGTTCCCAAAGACCACTAAATGAAACTATAATCTCTTTTCACAAGTATGACATAGATCTTGTTAAAGACCATGGTTCTCAGTAATAATGATTTGTTCCAGTAACACCTCTCCCCATCATGCACAGGTCCAAAAAATACTTCCAGATACCCCATTGGCTCTTGCACGCACCACATTTCAACCCCACTAAAAATGTTATGGGGGATATTGCAGATTTCACTAAATTCAAATCAGCCACATTCAATAAACATAACTCAGTTATGCATGGGTCCTGAAGTGTGCCTAGATATTTTCACGTAATGACTTCAACATTTTGTAAATTCTGTGTCATGTCACATAGCTTCAGATAACAGAAGGAGGTGCACTGTCTCTAAATCTTTGGCATTTTTTTAGATACAGTTACTGATTATTGCCAACAGAGAATATGCCAAGTTTAAACTTGATGCTAAGCAAAATCTTTAAAAACTAAAACCAAGAATTCTAACTATTCATGTTAAAAGTCATTTTAGTCAAAAGCATTCGTATATGCAGGTTGACCATTCCTTGGAGAAACCATATCAGAATGGGGTCATATTTATTTGTTACTTTAATGAGAAAAGTAAACAAAACTATCAAAATATTAACTGTGCATAATGTGATGCCTCCACAATTTTGATTTATTTTGAGCCTGACACAATTATAAACAAATAAACAATTAAATAAATAGGTAAGTGAATGGTTATTCCTGTATAAAGTAGAATCAAAAACTTACCTGGGAGAAATTATATCAGATACAGAATAAGCAGGAGAATTATGACAAGACATTTTTGTGGAAACTAACTTCTTTAAATTCAGTAGAGAGATGTACTGGAAAAAATGAAAATATAAGTTATATGGAATAAATTGAAAATAATTTATTTAATACTGACTAAGCTTAGTCTGCTAAAAGGTCATATTAGAGGAGCAGCCAGAGGAACTCAAACCCAATGCAGTAGAAATTATCTCCAAGACTAACTTGTTAACCAGTGATGGAAATAGTTTAGTAACTTAGTTTAATACAAGGTCATAATAATGAAGCATCCAATAAGGATTAAATTTACTATTTTAGCAAATGGTTGAAAGACTAATTCTCTATTAAATGCTCTCTATATATTTATTCCATTTGGCTGAAATACTATCAGGTCATCCCATAAGTTCTGTCCGAATATTGAATAAAGAAAACAAGTGACCAAATGTTACATTTAATTACAGATTCAATCAACAATGTATTTTCCCTGATTATCGATGACTTCCTTCCATCTATTAACAAGCTTACTATTTCCATTACTGTAAAATTCTTTTGGCTTTGATTCGAAGAACTCATAAATGTCAGTTTTAATCTCTTCCTGTGTTACAAAAGCTGTTTCTTTCCAAATGATTCTGTAAACTACGAAACAAATGGTAGTCTGAAGGAGCAAGATCGGGAGAATAAGGTGAATGAGGAATTTTCTCCCAACCAAGTTCTTCGATCTTTTGTGACATGATTCTTGCTGTGTGGGGTCACGCATTGTCCTGATGAAACATCACCTCTTTTCGATTCACTAGAGCAGGTCTTTTTTTTTTCCTCAACGCTTAGTTCAAACACTAATTGCTGACAGTATATTTGAGCATTAATTGTTGCATTAGGTGGTAAGAATTCAAAGTGGATTATTCGTTGGCAATCCCACCAGATTGAAAGAAGAACCTTTTCCCCATGAACTTCCCTTCTCGGCTGTGGCTGGGATCCTTCCCCTTTACCAAGCCACTGTCTACGACACTTAACATTTCGATAAAAGATCCATTTTTCGTCGCCAGTCAAAAGTCTATCCAAAAAAGGTGAAACAAGTTGGCGAGAATGGAGAGAAGAGCAGATGTCACTTCGGGGTTAGAGGTTGTTTTCAGACAATTCATGAGGCACCCATTTTCCAAGTTTAGTAACTTTTCCAAGTTGTTGAAGATGACGATGAACAGTTGTATGGTTTGAACTGAGAACCACTACCAATTCCTCAACTGATAAAGCAGGATTTTCTTCAAGGGCTGCTTCAAGAAGCTTTTCATCAAACTCAACTGGACGTCCGGTTTGATCTTCATCTTCAAGGGTGAAATCTCCACCTCTGAATTTTGCAAACCATCTTCTGCAAGTTCTTTCATTCACATATTCCTCTCCATAAACTGAGTGAATGTTTCTAGCCACTTCGGCTGCTGAGTTTCATTTCTTGAACTCATAAAGCATTATGTGCCTCAAGTGATTCTTGGGTACTTCCATGTTAGCAGGGTTTTAATCAAACAAAATTTAATTTTATTGCTCTCTGAAATAAAATTTGATCAGTTTAAATGCATCTAAACATAAAAATAATGTTCAGCTCCATTAGACATTATAAAATACTCTTTAAATTTAAAGTTAAAATTCAGACAGAACTTATGGGATGACCTGATAATAATTACTACATAAAAAATCACATATCAAATAAGCTTGTTAGTCATTGCTCGACAGCAGGCACACATTGAAAAAAGTTTATAAATTGGAAAGAATTTAGAATAACTAGACATGCTCAGTTTGTAATGTTTTTTTCTTTCAGTCAGAGAATCATAAATTATTACTCAATCTTTATTCAGACAGCTATTCTAGATTATTCAACTTGATCAAGCAAAAGATCTTATAAGAAATAATAATAGAAAGTTTACACATTTAATTATAAGAATAAATTATTGACCTGTACAGTGCTGTCAACTTGCTCTCATCTGACTTTTTACTCTACACTTTATTTCTCCTATAACCAGCATATGAAAATAGGTATAATCCTATTTGCCAATCATACTACCCCCACTTTGCTAGGAAATTTGTCCCAGCTTTCCTGCATCAAAGGGTTGAGGTTTAAAAAATTGCGACAAAATGCGAGTAAAACAGCAAGATTAGAGCGGACAAATTGGGGATTTTTCCCTCCAAAATAATGGTACAAATTTCCTGGCTTCTCTGTTGGTCAGAAAACACATTCTTATCTCTGATAAGGATCAGAGATGTGGAAGCCAGGTTTGTAAGTAACGAAAACAGGTTGAAGTGAACAAACTGTGAGGTTTCCCCCCAGACCTTTTGGCTGTGTTAAAATATCTCACAAAAGAAAAAAAAAAAAGAAAAAGTTTTGTGTCTCTCCTACTGTCGTAGCAACAGGCACAGTCTCCACTTCTGAGACGAACTGCCCCACTTCTCATTCCAGCCCTTCACATAGAGCTTGGTAACTCGCCCATGCAAAACACCAACAAGCCAGCTACCAATCACAGTTTCTGCACCTGCCCACCTCCACTCGCTTTGGGGGTGTCAAGTTGACCGACTAACTCATTACACACCCCCGCCCCTGATCTTAAGATCACAAAGCTCCTCAGCTTGAGAGATGGTGCCTGCATCCACATATACACAACTTGCACGCTTGGGTCATTAGGAAAAGACAATGAAAAAATGATCGAAATAACTTTTGTCGGTTAAAATTGAAATAGAGCTCACTCAAGCTATGAGAACTTTGAAACTCACATGGTTTTGGGTTGACAGTGACACTCATGATAATTGCATGCAGACAAAGGGTCGATTTGTGATCAGCCAGGCTTATCTATATAAACGTGCACAGAAATCTGTTGACACAGTGGTTGGCTGGTCTGCCGTTGAGTACAGACGGAAGAGAGAGACGGGAGAGACTGCGATCGGTTGGCACATCATCATCACGTGCATGAGTACCTGCAGGCAACCATTACGGGTTGCGGTGCTACAGAAGAGACGGAAGAGCTAGACGGAAGATGCAAAGAGTGGCTGACTAGTCTACCGTCGAGTGCAGTCGAGCTGGAGAGAGAAGTCGGAGATTGGGAGTGACATCAGAGAATTGGAACCAAACACCCACTAACATATTTTGTTGATATAAGTACGAAGAAGTGAATTACTCCTCCAACGTCTAAGACTACTACTGCTACTATTATTGCTACCATGGAGATTACTACTACTGCTACTATTATTATTGCTACCATGAAGACTACTACTACTGCTACCTCGTGTACCCAGGTACTCTGCTATTTTATTTTTCAGTGGCGCGGGCATTTGGCCACCCGCTCAGTTCCACACTGCGGTCCATACGCGCCTAGGCTGGTTGAAAGTTGCACTGAAATCAGGTTCGTTTATTGCAATGGAGGCTCTGAGGGGCACATTCTCAGCGGCAAAATTGACCTCACCTGAGCCGCTTATATGGACTCCTCCCAGTTTTGCAATCACATCGACTCCTAGCAGGAGGTCAAGCCATGGCAAGGTTTGGTGTACAATCAATACCTCCATGGTTACCGGGTGTATGTTGTTGATTTTCAGCTCCACTGTTTCGACACCTAGGCTGGTAAGGGTTTTTCTGTCGGCAGTTACAATCTGTGCCTCTTTAGGTCTCCACGAGCGACACACTGACTTGCACGTTAGTGTCTTTGAACACCTGCAGTCCACCAGGGCTGTGCATCTCAGTCCATCAACAAGCAGCTTAATCACAGTTAGCGCCTCAATGTTGCACTTGCCCAGGGAGGAGACCGGCGCTAGCATCTTTTTCCCTGACTGTTTTCCCAGGCACTCTGATGCAAAGTGACCCATCCTTTGTTATCTGAAGCACCGTAACCTTCAGCGCAATCATCGTACCCGGTTGTCCGTCCTTGTTGCACATCCCTGGGTGCAGCCATTATTCAGGTTGTTAGTGTTGGCGCACAGACAACACACCGAGTTTCTCCCGTTCTGGTCAGGAATTACTTCCACAGCTGCTGGGCCACTGTGATAATTTGGTTTACAGGTCTATGGTCCTCTACCAGGATGGCTCGAGCTCTCGCACAGAGCTGGTCTAATGTCAAAGTGTCCATTCGCGCTGATGCCTGAAGCTGCTGCCTGACATGCTGTGGCAACCCCACAACAAACGCGCAGGCTATCCATCTTTCGGGTGGCCTTTCTCCAACCTGGCGAGCTAGTCTTTCAAGTGCCACCAGGAATTCATCGACTGTCTCTCCATCACAAAGTTGCCACGTTGCAAACTGTTCAAATGCTACAAATGTATCCACAGCAAAGGCAGTGATGAGGGCGCACTTGATTTCCTCGATATCAGCTCTCTGCTCTTTGCTGAGTTGCCGATACACAGTGAGAGCCCCCACTAGTCAACCGCAATGGGAGAATGCGCTCAACCCTTCCTTCATCTGCCAGCTCACAGATCATCTCTACTTGCCCGAGCCATTCTATAATTGGTTCATCTAACGCGGACCCTCCAAACTCCGGAATCAACCACAGGTCGAAAGGCGTCCTTACCATTGCTGCTGGATTCAGATAAAGCGTGTCAACGTCTGAGGTTTGACGAAATAGCTTGTGTTGAAATGTGTCACAAAAAAAAAAAAAAATTTCGTCTCTCTCCTACTGTCGTAGCAACAGGCACAGTCTCCACTTCTGAGACGAACTGCCCTCCTTCTCATTCCAGCCCTTCACATAGAGCTTGGTAACTCACCCATGCAAAACACCAACAAGCCAGCTACCAATCACAGTTTCCATGCCTGCCCACCTCCACTCGCTTTGGGTGTGTCAAGTTGACCGACCAACTCATTACAATGGCAACATGGAAAGAATAATGGTGGTGGAATTCCTTTTTATATTTTCCAGCTCTATCCTTAGTCAGAAAATATATTCTTATCTCTGATAAGAATCAAGGCCTTGGGAGCCGGTTTTGAAAGTAAAAAGAGGTTGGAGTGAGGATAGAAAAAATAGTGAGAATGTGAACTTGTAAAATTGTTTTTCTCAAATTAAATTCCAACACCCTCCCTAACCTCCCTTTCATTGTTCTTGAACTTCTTCTTCAACCTCTTTCCTCCTCTTCTCCTTGAGACTTATGTCCGGTTCTTTTCAATGGAGATCTTGGTTTCATTTCTTCTTTCTTGTCTGAGTCACTCCCACTAACATCCATAGGCTTGTTTTCTATTACATTTTCCTAATTTGAAAAACTCATCCTTTCTTCTTTGTCAAGATCTTCCTCTATCACAACATATTCCTCTTCAATTCTGGATCTTATTTGGTCAGAATAAACCATTAGATTTTTCCCTTTCTTTGATGTAATGATTGTATTATGTCCCCTTTGTATGATGAAATTAACTCTCTCAGGACTTATTACTTTGTCTTTTTTAGCCCACATTTTTTTATTTATTGAGTAAGACATTGTTAATGGAGGTCTTATGTGGAATAGTCCTATAACTAAGCAGTAACCTTGGTAAGTAATTGTCTATAGTATCTCTATTTGGGGACAATGCCTTCAATCCCATTTTTACTGTCTGCACCATTCTTTTTGCAATCCCATTAGATTGTGGGTGATACGGTGGCGTTTTGTAAAAGAATCAGACAATCCGTCTAAACCAATTACATAAATCTTCATTATAAAATTCTGGTGTGTTGTCTGATACCAATGTTTCAGGGACCCCATTTCTAGAAAATATCACTTTTAATATTTGCTTTGATATAGTTGTTTTTCTATCTTTAACATGCCATCTAGCAAAGGAGTCTATTAATATTAGAAATAGTCCCATGCCATTAATGTGTGCATAGTCTTTATGAGCATGAGACCATGATTCCATTTCTTTAGGCCATGAGTGTATTCTCCTTTGTCAAAAATTCTTTATTTCTGCACATGTCTTTCTATGTCGCAATAATAGCCCAGCCACCATGCCTCCAATTTTAATAGGTAATTTATGGGATTCAAAATAGCTTGTGATACTGTATTCTTTTAATGATATGCTCACTTTATAACCCTTTAACATTCCTGTTTTTACTTTTTCTGATTTTACTTAATTTATTTCGACATATCCACCTTTAGAAGATCTATTCTCACTGGTCCATGTCTTTTTTTTTTACATTCCACTACTGCAATGGGAATACTTTCAAATCGGTCACAGGTTTCAAATGCTCCATTGAAGTAACCCAAAGATTTTATAAAAGATCCATCAAATTGTCTCAATTTCAGATTTTTTTCAATTTTGGTTTATCCTTTTGTTCTTAAAATTTATTGGGATTAGAGTGACCTCACTCCCTTGGATTACAAAAGTCATGCCATTTAATTTAATTTTTTCAAAAGAATTATTTTCCTTTGGTCTTTTTATTGAAAAGATGTCATCAATTCTTTCTTTTTCCAATTTTTCTATACTATTTTCTTTTTAACTTTGCATAGAGACTGAAAATTATTTTTCTTCTGCAGTTTTCACAAAAGTGGGGCACTTTTTTCTGTCAATTTGATGCTCATTGTCACAGTATTTGCACTTCTTGCATTCCTTTTTTATACTGTACATTTCAAAATACACCTCAGTAGAATTGTACTTTTTAATCAATTGCAGCTATTGTATAATTTCCACAAATGCAGTTAGAGAGAAATTATTCAATTATAATTGTTTCAATATCTTTATGAAACATCAACCATATCTTCAATCAACTTTAATTGAATCAATTCACCCACTATAGTCAAATCCCATTTAAAATGTTTCTTCAAATGAAAAATCCAATGCTTGCCTCTAAAATAATATTCAAATAATGATAAGGCAACTATAACACATAAAATTTTAAATTTATATAGGAATAAGAAATGGAAATTACAAACCATTTTCCCTGACCTAATTTATGTTGAGCAAGGTAAAAATCATTTGAAATATGCACAAAAAAATGCATTGACTGACAATGAAAGGGAAAAGATTTAATGATTTCATCAGTCTAAAAGTACAAAATGCTTAAACAGAATGTAATAAATCCACATGTACTTATCATAAAAGTATTAAAAAAGATAAGTGTTTTAAGAAAAAACAAATACCTGTGTTTTATAGATTGTAGTTAAATGCCAATCCGATAGTTCTTGAACAATTGCATTCTGTGGCATTTGCACAGGATATTTACTATTGGAATTTTGAAGTGCTTTAACAAGAGATGCTGAGTGAAAGGATGTGAATGCTTCAAGATTATTTTCTCTCACCACTAACATATAACAATTGCCAACATTCTAAAACAGAAGAAAGACAAAAAACAGTTAAACAATCATACATAATCTCATCATTGTTGACTTTTTAGAAAAAAGAAATCCTTCTTTACACATATATTTAATTTAAACTGAAACCTTAAGAAAAATATCCTTAAAAAAATATTGCTGTTTATACCCCATTCTCTGGAATGTCTGTTTCCGTGTGAAATTTGAACAACTATAACCAATCCCCTTTCTTTAACTTAAATATTATCTTAACCTTACCTTACTATCAAAAAAAAAAAAAAAAAAAAACACATGGAAACATTACACTATAAAAATTTTAAAAAGTACTTAGTGGTTGAATTCATTTAAAATATAAAAATAAAATGTGCTTATCACCAAATTAAGACAAAGATGATTTATAACAGATTGTTTTGCTTAAGAATTTCCTAATGATATACGATATATATCTTGAAATTATACTCTATAAACCCAGTGTAAAAACATAAAAAATGAGGACTACTTACTAGAACCATTTTATCAGATTTTGTTCACATTAGGTATTAAAAAGTGATTTACAAATTACCGTTTGAAGAATATACAAAAACTATCAATTAAAATACCTCAAACTTCAAGATGGTTGCACACTGTCATCATTTTATCATATATCTTAACCATTAAGAGGTATAGAACCTAAATTAAATTATCAGTCACCAAAGATATGTTTTAGCTTATAATAAGTGGTTCAAAATTAGTTCCAATATTTCTTATTTACTAGTAAGAAGTTACTAGTGAGAAGGGCCTATATTTGCTGAATGCACATTACTAAATCAAAACTTTATTATATATATATATATTTATATATATATATATATATATATATATATATATATATATATAGAGAGAGAGAGAGAGAGAGATATTATATACATATAGATAACTGGCTAGTATTTAAATAAATATTAATAACTCTCCCTAAATAACAGTAAGTTGCTACCAAAACTTGCACTATTATTCACAGGAACATTTTTGTTTTCAAATTATCTAAACAAATAACATTTGTATATAGAGAATGAAAAAGAAAATGTTAATGATCATTCTGCTTATGCTAATAACAGACATGTTTTACTCACCTGTAAAAGATCATACCATTGAGCAAGTGTATTTTCAAACATCAATACCACTCTCTTGTAAAGTTTGCTATCAAGTGTATTATTCTCTTTCTCACAAATTTTTTCCAGGTTTAAAGCTTATAAAAAACAACAGATAAACACTTCAGTTAATGATTTGATAAGCAAGTTATTTACTAACTTTATGTATTTTGAAAAACGAAAATATATATATAAATATTAAGTGTGTGTAGATATAATATTCAACATTAAATATCATATGATGATATACTATTTAATATATCACATATAATCATAATTTTTCTATAATAAGAGAGAGAGAATTTCACTTTTTTATATATTAGGTTATTCAGAAAGTTACATTTCTATATATGTAGAACTTAAAACCCGTTCAAATGTAAGAAAAGTCAAATTTGCCAAGAACATAATCGCATAACAATGACAAAATCCTACCATGAAAATGATTCTTTTTTTTTTATTATTTTTGGAGGAATGTGGAATTTAGGGGAAAAAAACTGAAGATGAAAAAAAGAATAACAATTAAATCCTTCACTAAGTAAAATAAACAAAGATGAAATCCTTATTCATATTTTACCATATTTTCCAAACTCAACTGCCTTAACACCTCAAAATTTTCATTTAATCAGATTACTGGGACACCTTAGTACTAAAACCTTTAAAAGGTATCACCCTGTTTGGTCAAAATTCAGTCCTTTTGTGAGTAGCAACTGGAGTGGCTTAACAGCCCAATCTTTGCATGGCAGTCTCTTCTGCAGGTGTGACAGACAAATGTGGAATGAAGGTCTGAGATTGCTTCCTGCATTGTCTTCTGATCTCAAACAAATAGTTTTGCTGTTACCCACTCTTCAATACTCCTCCTTGAATAGCATGGCACTAGTCACTATGATCATCTACTAGCTGTGAACAACTATCAGAGTAGATGCCTGTGAATTTCAGGTTCCTCTTGTGAATGTCTTCGAAATATAGTGACGAGCAGCCCTACCAGACAGTGTTTTGTAACCAGCTCACTCTACATGATGTCTTTTGGTATATACACGTCATTCACTCAATGTAAGTGACCCAGTCATCAAAGATGACATTGACAAAGGAGAAGATGCATGCTCTAGAAGTCTGCTTTGTGCTAACTTTGTCTCTCCATGCCAAGAATAGGTCAGAGGCAGTGGAAATGGAAATTTTCCAGGCAGTTTTCCTTCCAAACATGTCATCCAGGTTTCACAGGCGTAAAGCAGAGTATTAAGGATACATGCCTGGAAAACATTTAGTTTGGTGTGCAAGGCCAACTGACTATTGTCCCATACTCTCTTGTTAAATTTGGCCATCACTGCTGCCACTTTGGCGATGCATTTGTCAATTTCCATGTCAAGCGATAGGTTGTTGTTGATGGTAGAGCACAGATATTACGAGGGATCTGTAATTTCAAGCACCATGTCATCAATGCTGATTGATGGAGATGCAGAAACAAGACATTTGTTAATATTCAACCCAAATTCCTTACAGGCATAGTTTAACTGACTAATCAGTTGTTGGAGGTAGTATTTGGTGTGCATAGCAGTTCTCTGATAAGTATTGTGTGCACCAGGCAGGCCAAGTTGAATAGTTTACCATTGTTTCTTGTGTGTAAGTACACATCTTCTTCACATTGTTTGAACACAAAGCTCAATAACAGGAAAAAGAAAATGTCAAGCAAAGTCAGTGCTAAAATACATCCTTATTTTATGCCATACTGAATTGTGAAGAGCATTGAAGTTTCCCCATCATAACTGACTACACCCTGCATGTTCTTATGAAAGGAGGTGTTGATGCTCAGCAACTGTGGGGGACAACCAATTTTCATTAGTAACTGAAACAGACCTTTCCTACTAATAATTTTCCCTATTTACATTGTTCAGACTATAGAAATATAGGCAGATACTAATAATTTGCCTTTGAGAGATTGATGAAGATGATGTTTAGTGGCATCTGTTCTTCAACATTTCTCCTGGAGCATATGTAGAGAGAAGATCATGTCAACTGCAGATATCTTAGCCTTAAGTTCACATTGAGATTATGCCCAGATACAATCAGCAAGGACTTGAAGTTGAGTAAAAATCACTTAGACAAAGACTTTTCCACACATCTGTCAATATTTATGTATTGTGTGTATTTACACCTGTTTAGACTCTTGTCCTCTCATCTTTATTGTCATATTCAGAACATTTCAGCAATTGTACACATGGCCCAGTGGATAAAAGCATTGGTTGAAGTAATCCAGTGACTTGACCCAAAAAGTTGTGAGTTCAATACCTGGCCGCAGTAGAGGTGAAGAAAAACTTGGAGAATTGAGTTACTAAAAGGGAAATAACTGAAACTGAGATATCCTGAAAGTGGACTAAATAATCTACCCCAGTGGACTTAATAAAGGGCATTTAAATAAAGAATTTGGGTGGAAATTCCAACATATATCACCTGAAGAAGAACATACAACAGATGAAACATTCTGAATATGACAATAAAGATGAGGACAACAGTTCAAACAATGTAAACAGTGACTTTTCCAACAATGCTTAACTGGGTTTGGTTTGGTTTGGTTTATGGCATATCAACCTCAATCAATGGGTTATTTAATGCCAACAAAATCTTTATTACTGGTAATGTTTTTTCCTTCAAAAATCTATTTCTGGTAATATTTTTTTTTCTCTCAAATATCTATTGCAGGTATTTTTTTTTTCCAAAATCTATTGCTGGTAATATTTTGTTTGTAATAATTTTTCTTTAAAAATATATTGCTGGCAATAATTTTTCCTTCAAAAAGCATTGCTGGTAATAATTTTTCTTTCAATTTTGTATCTCCAATAATAATTTTTCCTTCAAAACTATATAACTTTTTCCTCAACAATGTATTGCTGGTAATAATTTTCCCTTCATAAATATATTGCTGGTAAAAAAATTTTCTCAAAAATGTATTTCTGCTATTAATGCCTATTTTTACACCTCCACAATGATTTTGACCCCTGTTTGGGGGTCAACTATTTGCCCATAGCTGGGACCCTAACAGAGACCTTGCTGTCAGATGTAGCTTAATGTCTTACCCAGTACGTGGATGTAGTTTATCATCTTACCCAGGATGCAGATGTAGTTTTTTGTCTTACTCAGGACGTGGATGTAGTTTATTGTCTTACCCAGGATGCTCATGCTTAACTAGGAGTTATCCTGTTATTTGTTGCAATCACTGTGGTTGCCCTTATTTTTATAAGATTCTGATATTACACTTGTTCTGAAGAACCTTGCCTTCTCTTCAGTAGAGGTTCGAGAGACTGTAGAGTGGTTTCAGTAAAGCTGGCTAACTGCATTTGATTTCTTCACATAGTGCTTTTCCACAAGCTAGAACATCAATGGCTCTGCCAAGCTCTTCCTCTGTAGGTTCAGAGTCCAGCTCTTCCACATCCTTAATATAATCAAGCACTTCTTTAGTCAGTGAATTTTTTCTTCAGTTCTAGGTCTAGGTTGTCCCATTTGTTTGTCTTTATCTGTAATTAACTTCCCTATCTTTGATTTCAGGAGCACAGCCTTCTTTGTTGATTTGCCAGTTCTTTGTTTAATGTCTTCATTAAAGGGAAATTAACATATGGATTACTATATGTTGCTTATTAGTCTTTTTTTCTGCTTTGTGTTCACTTTATTACCTTTAATATTTTTTGCATAGTTATAACCGATGCATATAAGCATTGGTTATTTTACTTTCAAAATATATTAACACAAAGTTAAATCTTTTAAGTCACAAAAAGACTTATAACTAAAAATTTATTATCACCAATTACTTTTCAATATTAAAATCAAGGCTCAGAGAAGAAGTCAATTAGCTTCAGTTTAAAAAGTATTCATAAGGATGCAAAATAAACCTTTCCAAAATAGAAACAATGATCTAGAGTTGGGAAGAAAGCAGTAATGGCACATACCCTGAATCCATCAAAAAAATTTAGGATGTGGATTTAGTAAATACCAAATACTTCAGATACCTTGGTGTATAGATCAGTTATAACAAATTTAGATAAAGAAATTGAACATAGAATTGGCTGCCTTAGCGGTAATTTCACCCAACACCACAAAACCAAAACATTAACCCAAAAAGTCATGTTCTTAAATAACCTTGTCAAATTGAGACTTTCATATGGATGTCATGCATGGTGCCAAATCCATTCATAAATATCTAAATTGTCATCTGTATACAACCACTTCCTAAGATTAATAGTTAAAAATAGCTTTGAGCAAGTGAAGCCTGTGGATCTTGGCAAAAGACACTCTTCTTCGATGCTTGTGGACTGGTATTACAGAATCACAAAGAATTGTATCACATAAAAGAAACCATATCACTTGAGGACTTTCAACAACAGCAGCAATTAAAATGAGTAGCATATGTAGCTGAAAGAGAAAACAATGACATAATCAAGAGGTTGACATTCCACAATACTTCAAATAAAAGGTTAGGAAGGAAACCTCCATTGATACTGGAAAGACCAATAACAACTACTGGATTTTTTTCATGAAAAACTGTCTGAAGCAAAAGATCTTATAAAATTCATCTGACAGTAATACTGGCTATTCAATCAATGGGAGGCACGGTGGAGTAATGGATAGCGGCTTGGATTGAGGAATTGGAGAGCCGAGTTCGAATTCCAGTCGAATCCATTACATTCACTTACGTGCTAACACCCTTTTTCTTCTCCCTCCAGCTATGGGTAAATAGCAGGACAGACTGGGTTCTATAGCCTTGGATGGCAACTGGTCTAGGAGAAAGAAAACTCTAAATTCAAACCTGCTCTTAGATGAGGGTGAATGGAGTCTCTCTGAGCCTTGGTTGGCAATCCATTTAGTGATGGTGTCACAATAAAAACACCCTTGATAGCCCTAGCGAAGCATCAAGAATTCAGCTATTTGACAAGATTATGAACTACACCAATCAAAGTATTAGTGAGTTCAATCTCGGCTGAGGCCGCAAGATGATAATGATTCAATCAATGAATGCCAAATATTTCCTTATAAGGAAACAGCTAATATTACTATTACCATTTTATGATCCTGAGAGCCAGTAAGAAAATGAAGACCATGGATATTGACAAAAAAATTCAAGAGTATCTCCAGGATGTTTAAATAATAAACTCGTTTCATTTGTATTTCTCTTAATTCTAATCTTTTAAATAACAATAATAAACATCAAATTTAATGCTTGACCATAGGTGAAAGTGGTTCACATAGTCCAATGAGAGAAGAGCATACAATCAGATTATATAATGTATGCATTTCTTTTTTCAGTTACTCAAAGATGCTTATTAGACTGAAAAAGAAACATCATTACTTGTTTAACCTCTCATTAACAGTCTGCCTGCCTTATGTGAAGGGGTTATCAGAGAAAATACAAAGGATCTGCGGTCCATATAACATCAGGACAACCTTCAAAAGCATGGCAACACTTCGCAGATATCTCTCTCGAGTGAGACCCCCCCCCATAGAGGAGAACATGACTAAAGACTGTGTGTATGCTATCCCGTGCAGCTGCAGAAAGGAATGTAAAGGAGAGACAGGCCACCCCCTCAAGGTAAGGCTTCAAGAACACCAGAAAGCTGTAATGCGAGGGGAAGTAGAAAAATCAGGCATGGCTGACCACATATGGAGAGAGAAGGGAGATCACCGCCCCCTGTGGGATCATGTTGAGATCATAGACAGGGAACACCATTGGAAATTTCATAAACTTAAGGAATCAGCACATATGCTAGGCCACAAAAATCTCCTGAGCCAACCAAGCATAGAAATAAATACAATATGGCAACCAGTAATAAGGAGTGCCAGAGAAAAGCAATGATAACAAAGTTGCAATATGAGCTTTGGTAAAAACATGCAATGATAACAGCAAAATTGCAATATGATAATATTGGTAAAAAATGGTTGCTGAAGACATTAGGTTTATAATACCCAGAAATTCATACCCTATTCCTCAAGGACACATGGCACAGTGGAGAACTTTCAGAGGGAAAATTAGCAGGAGATAACTGATAACTGACATCCATCAAACATGGCACATGGAACTAGAACAGTCTACCCCAGTGATCGAAATAAAGGGTTCAGTTCGAAATTCCAACCACCTGAAGAAAACGTTGTGACAAATATGGCGACAAAGATGAAGACAATAGTCCGACTAATGTAAATACTGTACAGAATACCTCATCTCAGAAATATAGACAGACTCTAACCTCTCATTCTTTCTACATTTCAAATAAATCAAGAACTCTCAATCAAAACAAAAGTTGTAACCATTCTTCTACATCCTATCACTAGACAATAGATTACCATCCTATCAAAGTTAAATTATTACATTAATAATCACAATTATTTCACAAAAACTTATTGAATGCTTATATATATTTTACTAGTTATGACTGTACACAGACATAGAAAAATTCAAGTTTAAATTAAAGCTAAATACTTACTTGTATACTGTAAGTCTTCAGATTTTGGGAATTTGGTCACATATCTGAAGACATCTTTTGCAGGCAGTTGAAAAGCATTACCTAAAAAGTAACCACTGGCAGTAAATCTCAAAGCTGGATTTTCAGTTGACAGATTGTATCCCATCAGAGATTCCTTGTGACTAAACATGAACATTTGACAAGTGCAGATATTGACATCATCTATTGATTCTTTGCAAGTGTAAGCCAGTCCAAGCTGGGGATAAAAACTAGGTAATACTGAGTCATTCAGTACAACAATATCTTCAAGAGAGAACTGTACATATTTGACCAAATTTTCAGTATTTGAACCAGAATTGAATTTTTCTAAGACCATTTGATATTTGTTGATAATAATCAATCGACCAAGACACCAAGAATGAGCAAATGGACAAGGAAATACCAGTTTTGTTCCACTTTGTTGCAGAAGGCAATTTGCTGTGCATATATGTGGTAATGAGCCAGATGTTGGATGTTTCTGCCAAGGTTGACAAATTATGTTAATGCTGTTCAAGCGATCAACTAAACATAGGCGCCCAGTAACAGAAGATACACCCACATAACCAATAAGCATCTATAAGAGGGGAAAAAGAAAGAATTTGAATAAAAATCAGTTAAAGTTAAAATTTTATTATTTATCGAAAATATAAGACCAAGAGACAAGAAACTACATTATCATCATTGTGACTACAAGTACTTGGTACTTATCAAATACAAAGTTAATCATAAAAAAAGCAACATATGCTTATCCAGTCAATATGTATACATTTTTGAGATACAAATTCAAAAGGATTAAACAAAATCTCAGAAAGATGGAAACATTTATAAAAAAAACAATGTTAAAAACTTGACTTTCACAATGTTTTATTTGTAAAAGGTGTACTATCTATAATTAAAGGAAATGTGAAAGAAAGTCTATGTGACACTTACTATAACTAACTGGTATTGTAGTGATTTACTACATGAAAATACCTTTGTATTATTAAAAAGAAATTATGAGAGTAAATTATATAAATTATATATTTCCAACTTTTTTGTATATAAAATAAAAACAAAATAATGCTAAATCTATAAGAAATTAAAAGAATCTATTAAATGAAAAAATTGTAATCACATTTTCTGATATTGGTTTCCTACTAAGAAGGCAACAAAGTATTAAAATATTGTTGCTTATAAATGTAAAAAAAAAAAAAACTTTTTGGATATGAAAAATTTTTAAACAAAATATTAATGCTATTTCAGTTTGTATAACTTTAATACCTGGGATTTGACTGTTCAAAGAAAGTATCATATTTACCCACACCTAAAACTTTCATTTTACAAGGATACTTTTATGTCATAATTATTTTATGCCCTAGTATACTCATCTTGGTTGTGATATTCACAATGTTTTAACTATTGTACTTTCCAGCCTTATGTGTCATCATATTTCAGTTACCTTTTGGGAATTTTAACTTGAACTGAATATTTTGTTCTTCCCATTGGGCTAGATTGTTCTCATTCCACTTTCTATATCAGGAGATATTTTATATCAGTTAATGTAGCCCAGTCTTATTTATCATTGTATCACCTGTTTGTTTTTCACACTGAACTTGAGTATGTAACTTTTCAGTACTACCAGACCCAGTGATTAAACTCACAACTTCTGGGGAATCAGATATATTTTAACGAATGCTGTAATCTATGTGTCTCCTGTACAATCCAGTAGTGTCATTTTGGGGCCTTAAATCTAATGTCTGTACTCAGGTGGTATGAGTGTCCTGACTCAGGTTGACAAGTTGAGAAGGGAAGTAAGATAGGTACTGGAGAAAATCAAACTTCTTAAATCAAACATCACAAGAGAGAAAAACAAACAAGAGTAAAGCAACAGTGGTGATAAACAAGTTGGAATATTCAGAAAAATTGACTAACCCAGTTAAAGATGATAACTACAAAGTAAAAAGGATCCAACTATGAAAAGCTGAAGCAGTCAGATCCTGACCAAGAACAAGGATTACTTCATGATGAATAGATATAGAAAGATGACTTAACAATAGAGTAAGCTATCATGTATGTTTTTCCAAAAATCCACACAGACAGTATTTTTGTGAGTCAGATGTTGGGGCTCAGACTGCTAGCCACTGTACACCTGAAGAAGTCTGAAAGGTACAAAAACTGAAATGTTGCGTATAATGACCAAGATGAGTATAGTAAGGCAAATATCTAGGATATTTTTTTCTGCTATTGCATTAAGCTCAAGCATTCCACTCATGAATTGTTAAACAGATTAAATGGATTTTTTTATTTTTAAGAAAAAAAGACTAAGACAAATAACAAGACATGTAAGTAGAATGCTTTCAAAACAGACACTGCATGAGTAAAAGTTGAGAAGAAAAAAATAAGAATGCAAGATAAGAAAACAAAGATTGAAAGTTACTTTTGTGTTTTGGGTCATTTTTACAAGTAGTTCCCAAAAGTTTTCTTCTATATTTGTAGTCATGTATTGTTGCTTCAGCTGTAGTATCAAACTTGAAAAATCTTCCAACAAATTTGAAGGACATACAAGTGAAGGAAAAGACTGCACAAATAGAAAACTGAATTTAAGAACATGTATTATAACAAAGAAGTGCATGTGACAAAAGCAAAGATTAAAGTATGTATAATCTCAACTTAAAGGACAACTGGAACAATTATACTAAACTGTACAGCCTGTTAATGACTGTACATAAGCTTATTGGAAGGACTATTTATTTGCTTTTAGTGAACAGGTCCTATCAGCTTTTTCTTTATTTACCATACTGAGGATTTATATATCACTAACAGCATGGCCCGGCATTGCCCGTGATTGATTCAAAAATCGTACGACTCATACAGCAATTGCTATCACTTGACTTAAAATATTTTTGCCCTCCCTTGCCTTTAAAGGAGTGCCCTTTGCCATGCTGATGTTACTACATGCCTTACTTCTTGCCTATCTCACACTGTGAATTTTTTCTAAGCTCTATACTAAACATTAAATCTGTTATGAAAAAAAGAACTAAACAAAATGAACACAAAACGATCAGCTTTAAAAAAAGGACTCATAACTAGAAAAACCAAATGAAAAAAGAACATTAACAACAAATACTTTTTCACGCCCAACCCAGTTTTGCGGAATCAGAATCAACATTGAGTTTAAGCAAGCGAATGAGCCAATTGGAGTAAAGTGCCATGCAGATTTAAATTTTTCCCACTTGTGACGAATGCAGCTATCAATTTTTTTTTGCATGCTAGCATGCTAGTTAACATTCGTGTCAGTCAGCTGTTGGCTCTCACACTGGACAATAGAATCTTCCTGCCTATTCATGGCAGCCAGCTATAGGCTCTCACTCTGGCCAGTAGAAAATGGCTGGAAACTACATGAAAACTGCCGTAGAAGCATGAAAAAATCGATCATTTCCACTATCGATGGGAGTTGGGAAATGCAAAGTCGGTCTTGGCCTTCCCGCTAACTTGGAGCATGTGCATGTAAATAATGCATTCATTACACACACACACACACACACACACACATCCTGCCTTTTATAGATAGAGATGTCTCGTTCAATTTATTTTGTACACTATTTTACATTATAGATTTTTCTGTGGCAGAAAACCTTTTATATTCAAATCAGAATTGGTTTGATTTTTATTCTAAGTTATCCATATATTGCCAAAGGCTGAAAGGAACTACCATTGATTTTTAACAGCATTTCCAACTCATTTAAGGTTATTTAATGTCATGATTCCTTTAATGGAGGATATTTGGGTTTTAGTTTGAATTTTGTATTAGTTTTCTAGAAATTATTTATATTTTTGTATATAAGTTTATTTTTCTAAGGAAGAACAATGTGACTTCTACATTAGTATTGTTAAATAAATTTTTCATGTCTGTTTTGTATTAGTTTTCTCACAGGTGCAAAATCGGAACATTCTGTTAGAATACATTGTCAGGATTCTAGAAAGCTGTGCATATTGGTTGGCTATCTTAAGTAACATTGTAAGAGCGTGTGTGATTTTTGTATGTTCAATATGTAGTCTGGACAAGATGACTTCATTGTGTGTTTTTCTGAAACCTTGTTTCTGAACATCCAAGGTGGGCTGTATTGTGTACACTTTCTTTTGAGTGCTTTTGTTCCATTGTTGTTGCTATTTTTTTATCAATTATTTGTTTATTTTGAAGTGTTTGAAGTGTGTATGCAGGATTTAAAATTTTTTAAGGTCTAAGTCAAGCAGTGGATTGGCTACAATATCAGCTTTTTCCATTACCTCTAATTCCAGTGTAATTTAGAAGCCAGTAGATTAGAATTTTATTGTTTTTTGTTATTTTTAGATATTGTGGAGCTTGTTCAATATTTCTAAAGAATTTTCTATTTTCTATGGATAAAATGGCTGTTAGTGAATCTGAGGATGTTTTTCGAAATTAGTAGCTGTCCTCTGTTTTCATCTTGTCATCTTCTCTTAAGGTGACTGTTGAGGTGTTTGTTTAGTTTGTTTTCTTGTCTGCAAATTCTGCATATGGTTTTGTCTATTGGCTGACCTTTCTCTCGCTTTTTCTTGTGTCTTTTGATTGGTATGTTTTCTGCATTTTTGGTTATTTTTCTCCTAGGCCTTCTAATTGGTTTGGGGTTGGTATTTGATTTGTGTTTGAATATGTAATTTGGGAACACTGAAGATCTCTAAGAGATTTTGAGGTATCTTGAGGAGATTTTCCTTATTTGAATGTTGATAGGGGCATAATTTACCCTTTTATTACAGTGTTAGAGTATGGATAAGGTTTGTTTTGTTTGTTTTATAGAAACCTATAAATCTTTCAGAAGGGCTCATATTTCTTCCGGTTTAATTTTTTGTAGTCCGTCAATGATTTGATTGCACTTTTGGCGTTTCTGGTAGGTAGTGCTTGTTGTTAGCTAAATAAAACAGAGTTGAGAAAATGGTTTTACAGTCTTTCATGCCTCTGGGAAAGAGATACTTTGAGTGAATTTTATTTTCATTACTTCTCTCTTTTGCAAGCTTCACAAGACCTTGAGTTCGCCAAGTGGTCACCAGTGAAAGAAACTTTTGTATTAGGAGGACAGCTTCATAATGGATTTTTCTTTTATAGATTCTAGGACTATGAAGTTTGGAAAAGTGGTAAATGCTTTTTCCAGGTCACCATCTGTGTGGTATATTTGTGAAAGGACACTTATAATTTATTTTAAAGTGTTATTAACTGTGTTTTCCACCCAGCAACCTCTCCAACAGAGAGATGTGATCAAGGGGGAAACCCATTCACTGTGACATGGCAGAGATATACAGTATACTCATATCAAGTGAGAGCTTGGGGCACATGTATGTCTTGAGTTTCTACACTTTAATATCTTGAATTTGCTGAAACTTCTAACCAGACAAGAAGTGATCATCTAAAGGTGACAAACCTGGAGACTTTTCCACAAGTGGAAAAATTTTCCATCCAATTTCCATGATCATTTCTTGCATTGCATTTACAACATGAGGATGGATATTATCATACAGTAAAAATCCCTGGCAAATTTCCTTGTACCCCAAAACATATTTTCTTTTTCAATGCATCAGTCCAACAAGCCAATTCACTCACTGCAGCATTATGCACTAACTGTCCAGGTTTCTCTTTGTATCTCACCAAACAGAGAACTTACTTTCTTAGAAGATTCTATCTAGGTTAACATGATGAAGGCTGACCTGGATCTAGATATGATTTTCTTTATTACATATTGTCATAATATATTTTTCATCACTAATGACTATTTTGTTCAAAAATAACTTTTTATATTCCAAGCAAAAAAAAAAAAATTCAAATGTTTAAACACTGACTAATGTTCATTTCTATAAATTATAGATTCTGAATTTTTCATAAAACTTGTAAATTATGTAGTAAAGTTAACAGATTCAATAATAATTGTGCTGCATATTCTCTCAAAAGTTCCTTCAATCCCAAATCATTCATCTCATCCCAAATTTTGCCATGTAGCAGTTTTGTGGGGGTTTTATCAAGACAAGATCCCCCACATTGTAATCAGTATTCTGTCTTGAGTTCTAGTATTGGTCTTATAGATCCCCTTTAGCTGAAACTTGTATGACTGGACCTCATTTACAATTGTACAATTGCCATCACACAGAAAAACAAGACAGACCACAGTAAGTGTCAGGTACTGGCCATAAATATTATGCTTATTACCAATCTCTGCCAGGGGCCATTTACAGCCAATTTTTACTAGTGAGGCAGTACTGGATCTATTGCTTGGCACTGTTCACATATTCTTATTGTCAATTTGACAGCTGCCTTAGATGAGGAAGAGAAAAGTATTCTTGTGAATGATGTTGTTATGTCTCACTCCTAGGTTGATAAATAATCCTTATTTGGTGAGGAATTCATTTATGTCAAGCTACCTTTGTGGCACCCTAGATAAGTTTTGGTCTGATATAACCAACCACATCTGCAGACAACCTTTGACTAGCTCCAGCCTGCTCCATATCAGCATCTTGCTCACAGCTTTAATGCATATACTTGCTTTGCTGGCCAAACTATATTAGATCCAATGGTACACACACAAGGAGTTGGTCTGCAAATGTAACACTTTGGCCTGCCACTGGAGGGCCAGATCAATGTCCTTATGTGTTGCATCTAGTTAAATCAGGATGGGGTGTCAGACATCATTCAGGTTAAAACCAGCACCCATATTCCAATACATACCTACTCTTCTCCAATAGAAATGCAAAGAATTTATGTTGTCTCATATGTTCAATTTCCAGCCAATCATACACCAGTCTCCTCAGGTATGGTCATTTTGTTCACTGTTGCTACAGCCTCCACCATCATTTGCTTGAAGGGGATGTCAGTCAGATCATCATACTTGCCTTTGTAAATGCATTTACACATTGTTTCATTATGTTGGTTGCCATATGAAACTATCTACACATTACCCTAAAAGATTGTCACATATGGTGAAAACATTCCACTGTGTAACATGTCAGGCATGTCAAGATGACATTCTCATGGCTAACATCCAAACCCAACATAAAGGCACAATCTTCCAACCATTTTTTGTGCTTACATATCAAGCCAAACGAGGCTAACTTAGCATTCATATACAATTCCAATATCTTCATGTAAATATCATCAATCTATGCTAATGTTGCTTTCTTGACTGCCTCCTCCTGAGATAGCACAGCACTGAGGATTGACTTTACTATTTGTGGTGACACATTCAATCCAAATCCCAGTCTTGTTAGGCAGTATCTATTCTCATTAGACATTACCATTGGATATATAAACTTGCATCTTGAGGAAGTAAAAATACATTATACCCTTGCTGATGGTATCCATGTTAGCTGTAAACATGTTGACATATATGTTAATTTGCTAAATGCAACTACAAACAACCTAAGGGACTCCAACTAAATTTTTCTTTGGGGCTGATTCCCAAAGCCGATACCATGAGTGGATATAGTTGCAAGGCAGTCAGTTTTAAATTAATGTTTTCTTTCACTTAGACGGGCTATCAACCTAGTTTCATGAGCCCTGTCTTCCCAATGTACACA